ATGCAGTTTCATCAAAAAACTTCAACAACTAACTGTGATTCAGTACGATTCATGCCTTATATCTTTCGAAAGACGGTTCAGGATTTTTTGCAAAAACGAAAAATTTTACACTTTTTTGCCAATTATAATGACTTAATGGCTAAATATAATCACTTATTATAATGGCTTTTTCGATCGCAAACAAAACTAATCAGCGGGAGTGCTCAAGGATTTTTTTCAATTTACTTTTATTATTTTTAAATTGGTGCAGCCGTTTTTTGAAAAATGTTGACAGGTCAAATTATGGTTCATATACATACACACATACTTTTTCCAATGTTAGTCTCAAATTCAGAATGACTTGAAACGTCGAGTAAACATAAAATTATCAAATTGGATTTTCTAACAAATCCACAAACTTTTCCTCTTCGGGAATGTAAATTGATTATATTCAATAATATTAGAATTATATTTTGCACCAAAAATCCATATATTTCATAAAAAATATGAATTTATTGTACATCGTTGTACACTTGTTGTACCATTAAACTCTTCTTTATACACTGTTATGCATTATTCTTTGCAAACTGTTGCTTCAATATTTCTTTATTCTGCGCTTTGGCTTTCAGTCCCTGTATTTTTCTTCTCGCGTAAGTCATCAATCACCTACATTCTTCTTCTTCCCTGTCCTTTTAGTTCTTCTATTTTACTTTCCACGACATCGTGAAGAAGGCATTCTTTTTGGAAAATGGGTCCATTCTTTTCAGGTATCTTCATTTGTTATCTTATCTGTCCACTTTATCTTCTCCATTGTCTCCAGCACCACATTTCAAAATTCTCCTTTAATTATTGTTTTTTAAAACTAAAGTTCATATTACGATAAAATGTACAATATTTACAATTTCTGAAGATTTCTAATCAGTTAAAACAGAAATTAACTTATATAATCTATAATATCATTTGTTTTCTTTGATTATTATGTTCTGGTTTGAATTCTATTTCTAGATATTGACGGTACTAAAACAATATAAATCTCTTTATGATATAATTGTATACATAATTAGAATACACAGCTAAAATTTGCTAGAATTCAAGTGATAATGCGAGAACTTTAAAGTTTTCATGTATTATTTCTACTGGAAGCAACAAAATTTGACTTTAAAAAATTACTACCTAGTAAATAGTTTAATGCATCAATGCAGGGGAAGAGTTGTTTTTACCAGTAATATATTTCCATCACGTTTTTAAGTAAAAATTGCTACCACTACTGCTTCATATCAGGTTTTCTGAGTTGGGTATCAAATTTGAAATCTTTGGGCAAACCAAAGTTCTTATTCATAAACCAAAGAGCCCCATTATTAATAATAATTTGTAAATTTATCTAATCTGTTTTGATTACATTGAAATTTATTTTATTCCTATAACAGAAAACAAATTTATTTTATTCTTATACAGCAATCCCAAATACAAAGTTCTACTCGCTGCTGGATAATTTCTCCTCCGGACGATAAATATTATTGTGAGCCAATACTGCGAATAAATATCACGAATTGTAAAGGTTGGAATGTAATACCTTTATCGTCACAAAAGAGAATTACACCTAGGTCATCGTAATATTCAATTCTTTGGCGAAGGGTCACATATTGCGTATATGCCTTTAATGATGTTATATTCTGAACATTAAGCGTTCCGTGAATTAGATAATAGGACCCAGATAGAGCACCGATAATAAAAACATTATTTATATAATGTTATATTGATCTTTTTAAATGGTCTTCGGTTTTTGGTGTAATATTTTGGTATAACATTAGTATTTATGTAGAGCTATTAATTACAATTATGTGTTAATACTGATAATAATAATAATAATAAATAAATATATTTCAGTAGATATATATGTGTACATAGCATTTCTCATTTTGGATTTTTACCCGTAGGTATTTCATCCTTCATATTTGTTCTATCAATACAATAATAAGTATTTCAGATATACAAGTTGTGACATAATTCTGTGACAAAAAAGAGGAAAGAAAATTTATTCCCCAAAAAAAATCACTTAGCACTATTTATAATAACACATAATAACTCAAAAAGGAGAAAAACAAAAAAAGATTTATTCACTTTGAGGGAGAATATTTGCGTCGAGCCAAGTTTCAATTGCCGCTATGGGTCGATCAGTATATATTTTGGCATGGCGTGATTGCCATACCAAATATCATCTCTTGTGTATTGGCCGAGGCCCGCGATGTTCATATTAGGATGATCCCCACATTTTAGATAAAAATTCTCAGTGAGCTTTTTTATGTAGTCGAGTATTGTCGGTACGTCAGTCTGTTTGTGTATGTATTTTGAAGAGTAGTAATGTCTAGTCAGTGGGTCCCTTATTTTGTTGAGTACAAGTCGTAGTGTCTTATTTTGTAATGTCTGTAGTTTCCGTAAGTTAGACTTAGTCGTCGCGTTCCATGCCGGAGCGCCGTATGTCAGTATCGGTCTTATCAGTGTCAAGTAAAGTGTTCGCTTGTTCTTCACGCTTAGCGGGCCGTTGTGGTTCAAGAGAGGTCTCAGTAGATTTAACATCCCGTAAGCCTGTCCAATTTTCGTATTAATATGTTTTGTGAAGCTGAGTCTATGGTCCAGGGTCACACCAAGATATTTGACATCTTTGGACCACTCAACTTCACAGTTTAATACTTTAATTTTGTCTAAGTCAGTCAGTCTAGTCATGGCATTTCGGCTCTTAGTAAATAAAATTGCCTCCGTCTTTTGCGGATTTATCTTGATCTGCCATTTGTCAGTATATTTCGTCAGCTTGTCTATGTGTGTCTGTATCTTTGTAGTCAGTAGCGTCGGTGATCGTGATGATTTGTATATGGCAGTGTCGTCAGCAAACGTCAGTAAGGTGGTGTCGGCGTCAGTGGGTATGTCGTGAATGTAGACGTTAAACAGTGACGGTCCCAGGATCGAGCCCTGCGGTACTCCCGCCGTCACTTGTTTAACCGTCGAAAGTCCGTTGTCTACTTGTACGGTAAAGTTACGGTCTGAGAGGTATGAGTGTAATGTTCTTGTAATGTATGGTGGAAAATTCAGTTGTATGAGTTTATGTATAAGTCCGTCCATCCAGATGGTGTCAAACGCCTTCTCGAAATCAAGCAACACCAATCCGGTATGGTTTCGTCTGTTAAAATTGAGAACAGTATTTTCTATGAGTTTTGTCAGTGGGTGTAGTGTGGAGTGTCGTTCTTTGAAGCCGTATTGTGTGTCAGGTATGATTTTGTTGTGTCTTATGTGTTTGTTAAGTCTTTTGAGTAGTACCTTTTCGGCTACCTTACTCATTGTGTTGAGGAGGCTGATCGGTCTGTAGTTCTGTGGTATGTCTGGCTGTTTCCTTGGCTTCACTATTGGAAATATGGTGGAGGTTTTCCAAGAAGCGGGAAAGCAGCCTTTTGTCATTATTCTATTTATTATCCGGGTAAGTAAAATGTAGGCGTTCGTCGGCAGTTGTTTAAGTATTATGTTTTGTAGTCCGTCCGGTCCCGGTGCTTTTCTGTTCGGTAATTTTTTAACTATTGTCTTTATTTCAGAAACTGTGGCAGGGTCTATTCGTAAGTCTTTGTCCCTGTGGAGGTCAGTGAAGTTTTGAATTGTCTCGTGTACGTCTTGTTTCAGGTCTGCGTTTGACATATTGGCATTTTGTTTATGTATGTTTTCAAAGTTTTTTGCCAATATTTCCGCCTTGTCTGCTGGTGTCGTTGCGTAATTGTTGTCAGTTAATTTGAGTGGAGGTATGGATGTTGGTTTTTGCGTCAGTCTTTTTGCTGTCTGCCAAATTTTGTGTGGGTCAGTATTTATGTTCTCGAGTCTTTTGGTCCAAGTGTTGTTTCGGTGATCACGTATTTCATTGGAAATAATTTTTGTCAGTCTGTTCACATGTTCCTTGAGTAGTCTGTCACCGGTACGTTGCCACAGTTTCTTTATATGATTTTTAAGTTGTATTTTCAATAAAATGTGTTCTGGCAAGTCGTTGGCTGGTGTTGTTCTTGAGTCTAGTGTCGGTATAGTCTGTTGTACGGCGTCTGTGATTGTCAGTGTAAGGTGTGTTACAGCCTCCTCAATGTCAGTGTTGGTATCGATTGGCATAGTGTGTCGTGTGTTGTCTGTGATGATGTCTCTGAAAATTGGCCAGTTGGCTCTGGTGTAATCTAAAAATTTGCGTGTGGGGGTCTGGTCGACGTCTAGTCTGTCTGAAATGGTCATGAAAACTGGATTATGGTCAGAGTTGAAAAGTGTTCTTGTTATGGGTTCGGATGTTACGTGTAGATTTTTTGTCAATGCCAAATCGATCGTACTGTGATGGTGCGTCTGTACGGTGGCGTATCTGGTCGGCGTGTCAGGAAAGTGTAGTTGTGCGTCTGTGGTGTTGTATTCGGTCAGGTATTCGTAAAGTCTGTTTCCGTTTGCGTTGTTGAAGTTACAGTTCCAAGTTGTGTGTTGTGCGTTAAAGTCTCCTGCCATAAGAACAAATCTATTCGAGTCCAGTAGTCTTTGTAAGTCCGTATGTTCTAGTCTGCTTGCCGGGATGTAAATCGATATTATGGTTACTTTTTGACCTCTCTTGTATACATTAATAGCTGTTATTTCAGAACCGCCCGCTGTCAGGTTTGGCACTTGCTCGTGTCTGATGTTAGACTTAATCAAAATCGCAGTGCCGCCCCATCCGCGTGCGTCGGTCTGTCTGTCGTTTCTGTAAACTTTGTAATTGTTGATATAGAGTCTGTCCGTAGGTTTTAGGTGTGTCTCGTTAATCAGTACTATGTCCAGATCGTATTTTGTTATCGTCTGTCTCAGTTCGTCAACGTTGTTTTTAAGTCCATTTGAATTGAAATGCATTATTTGTAAGTCTTGCGATTGGTTTATGGTGATGAAGTAAGAAAGTTCAAAATTGTTGTGTATTTGTCGTTATAAGTCATGTTTGTGTTAAGTGTTTTTGTCAGTTTGTATAGCTCACTGAAAATTTGCTTTACCTGGGGATCCGTAAATAGCTTCCTGATCTCGCCCATAGCAGTAAAGAGTCCTTCCGGAGTGTTGAGGTCTGGATCGGGTTGGCTGCAGGCAGGCCGTGTTGGTGGTTGCGATAGTGCAGGCCGGATCTGTGATGATGCAGGCTGGACCATTGTTCGTGAGGACTGGACCATTGATCTGTATGGTGACGATGGGATAGGGAGTTGAGGATATTCAGGTCGGACGTTAGGACCATTGTTGGTGGAGTTTACAGCTGACGAGAAGCTCCTCGTCAGTGGCACTGGTGTTGGTGCTGGCCTATACGCTTGTCTTCTCCTGAGAGCGTCGCTTTCTTTCTTTTCTTTGTAATTAATAAGAGCGCTGCATTTGGAATAATTTGCCGGGTGTTCGCTTTTGCAATTGACACACATCGGTGCCTCATGTGGTAGTTTTTGGCACGCTCCTGGTGCGTGCACATTGAGGCACTTTATACACCTGTACTTTAGGTCACAGGTGTACGATGTGTGACCAAAGTTCAAACATTTGTGGCACTGCAGCGCTCTATTCTGCGGCCTATAGGCCTCCCAGGAGAAGATATGTCCCCCAATATTCGTAATTCGTTTTAGCTCCGACATATTCTGGTCTTTATCGAGGAGAACAATGTATATAGGTAATTTGTGTTGACCACCATCTGAAGTTTTCCTCTTTATCTGCACTACTTGCCTGGCTTTAATCCCTTTTGACAGGAGATCTTCAAGAACCTCCGCCTCTGTAATTGATGGATGTAGACCGGTTATGGTTATTTTCTTCGGCATTTCCTCTTTGATTGTGTAGGTATAAAATTGATAATTGCAGTCCCTTAACATGTCTTTGATTTTTTCGTGTTCTATAGCGGTGTCAGTGAAAATTTTGTGTAGGTTATTATGAAGGTATTGATATTTAAAATTAATTTTAGATGTTTCTCTTAAATATTTAATTGCTTTTAAATCTATTTGACCTTTTATGATAATCGGTGGGATTTTTGCCTCTTTCATGGTGGTGTTCTTGGGTGTCACGGTTTGGACGCCTGAGGTAGATGGTTCCGACCTAGTAATGGTTTTCTCAGGCTCCTTGTTCTTTTTCGCCCTCTTTCGGCGTGTTACTTTCCTGTAGTCCTCACTCTCCCTATCAGTATCCATATCTGTACGGTCCGTGAGCGCATCATATTTATTTTTTAGTGCAGTACTTGTCTGCACGTCCATCTTCTGATTTATGTTCGACATCTTGAATTTTTTCCCAGGCCTCTGCCCGGGAATTATTCTGTTTCCTGAAGAGTTTTGCGCACTGATTTTAAAATTTATTAAAAATGATATAAAAAGACTTCACAATTTTGAAAAAGAAAAACACTTGCTAATGGGTGCTTACTTCCTCCCCATTAGCAACCCCAATCCGGGGTTTGGGAAGAAAAGTATGCAAAAGGCACGTTCACCTTTAAAATTTTGACAGATATAATAATATATATCCAACTTGTAAGTATTAAGCCCGGTGCCTTTAAAAAGGCAAGATTTAGAATCAATTCCGGACTTAATACTTATTTCACAAAAACACTGACACTTTTGTTAATACTGATTTAGAATAATGTGCATAATATGGATTGTTCGTTTGTAGTTTAAAATGTTCAATATTCAGTATTTAGATTCTTACTTCTAACTTTTTACTCGTTAGTCCATTTTTTTTTTTCAATAATATTTATAATTTGAATAAATAAAAATATCTGATGTTATGTTGTTTTTTTTATTAACCTCCCAGTTATTGTAATCGCTCAAAAATCGAAATTGAAAATTTTTACCTCGGAAACAATGGATGTGTGTGTGTATGTATGTATAGATACAATTTTTCATCCACGTTTTCAGGACGGATCAACCGATTTGAATGGTTCAAAAAGATGTGCTGATTAGTTTTTGGCAAAGACAGATCCAGCCGTTTCGTAGATACGTAGCAAAGAAAGCAGAAAATAGGAATCGAGTATTGAGAAGAACGGTCCGATTTGAATGATCCAAAAACATTCAATTGATAATGATGGGGAAAAATAGTGATTAGTCTTTGGCAAAGGCAGATCCAGCTGTTTTGGAGATATAAAGTTAAATGTGCAAAAAAATGGCAGTTTTTGAGAGAACTAAGCATCCGATTTGAATGGTTTAAACAACTTTCTGCTTGTGTTAATAAAACGGTTGCTTTTGGGTAAAGAACTTTTTTGTAACTCAATTTTTTTCTAATTTTCAAAAACAAAAAATTTTAATATCGAAAAATAATTCGGATTTTATTTTTAATTCTAACTAAGGTCTAAACATCACTTATATACTTTAAATAAATAATTTTAACTTGTTTTTCATTTTAAATCCGATTGATTAAGTTTTGTTTATTTAATTTTTATAAAATAAGAATGCTGAAAATTACATTATTTATAATAATCTATTTAATAAGCAAGTGATTTTGAATCATTGGACACCAAAATTGAAAAAAGTATGAGTGTATGAGAAAAATTTTGACTTCTCATCGATGTTTTCTCAAAATCCAAAAGCCATTTGATCAAACTCGATAAGAGCTTATGCTGATTAGATTTGGTTGAAGATCGGCTGAGTCGTTTCTTAAAGTGGCAGAAGAAATTAAAAAAAATGGTTTCGCAAAAAAAAACATAATCGATTTTGATAATTTAAAACCTATTTCCAAGATATTAGTTGGTAATCGAGCCGATTATTTTTGGTAAAAATCGGCTAGGACGATTCTTCGTAATTAATTATGAATTTTTTTTAACTATTTTGATGAAACTGAATTTTTTTGGTAATGAGGAAGTTCGTAGTCATAATGAACACATCCAAAAATATAATAGGCTTACGAAACATTTAAACGTTATAAAAATTACCAATGTTTGTGGTAATGAAACGTTTCAAAATTTCAAAACATTTTGTTATAATTTTAAAATTTGCTAAATTTTAATATTTGTTAATGAAGCCGAATGTTTACACGTTTCTGCAACTTACTTTGAGGTTTTTGCCACTTACAACGAGGTAAATTTAATACCATTTAAAAACATATTTCTAGATAGTATTTCTTCGAATAATTACAAGAAAAAGCATCAGTTGATAATTATGTCGGAAGTAAAATGTACCAAATGCATAATTTAAAATATCAAATATCAGTTCGCTTAATTTTGTCTAATGTATAAACAACCGTGTTTCATTTATGCCGATTTCACTGTTTGTATACATAAAATCAAATATTTTACGTCTGCAAATAATCAAGAGTAAAATGTAATATGGATTCTGCGTACTTTTGCCTGAGTAATAGTTGCTTACAAATTAAAGCAATCTTGTCAAACAATGAAAATACAATGTCAATACTGAATTTATCGAATTGACTCAGGCACAGATAAAGATAGGCGTCAAACATTGGTTCGGATAGCATATTATTTTATTCACATTTTTATTGTTTGTAATTAGATATACTTTTTATAATATATTATGTGTTCTTCCTTATTAACTTTCCGTCAGGTAAGTTATAGTAATCGCGAAAAAATCGAAAATGAAAATTTTCATATGATGTGTGGGTATGTGTATGTGTGCGGATAAAAATTTTCCAATTTATTCGATTTGAATAATTCAAATCTTATTGCATTTTAAAACATTCGAATCTTATTGATAAGGAGACGTGCTGATTAGCTTTTGGCAAGAAGAGCAAAAAATGGTAATTCAGTTTTTGAGAGAACGGAGCGTCAGACTTGAATAATTCAAAAAACATTTTATTTAATTGACAAAGTAAAGTACCGTTTAAATTTTTGAAAAGACAGGTCTAGCGGTTTCAGAAAAATTCAAAGTATAAAAAAAAATTTTTTTCAAACAAGCCAATTTTTTTCAGAAATTTCAATATTCTCAAAAATATCATTTTTTTCAAGTTTCCAAAAAATTTTAAAGGTTTTTAAAAATTAAGGCACGATGCCATCCACCACTAGTTATTTTGGTCATCGATAAATCATAATACTTCATATAATGTACAAAAATTTCATTTTTCGTTTCACTTTTAAGTTTTCCGAACTTATTACTTAATTTAATTTTTTATTATTTTTTTTTTTTGAACTTACTGGTTTTTCCTTTGCGTTTGTTTTGAGTTTTTAACCTCTATATGTAGTGGCATCAGATCTCAGATCCCAGAATGAGATAGAATATTATGTAATGAAACTATTTTAATTAAAAAAAATTATACGGCATATTCATTTTTAATATCATTAAAATATTTATGAAATATATTAAAGAATATCTTACAGATGTGGAAAACCTCGTTTTGTTTTTGAGGCGTTTCAAAAATACAAATGCTACAATATATAATATATAAGCTATCTATATAATGCTCTATATAAGGAACCTTATATTTAAATTTTGTGTACATTTAACGATTAATTTTGTTACATAAATATTAATTATTAGCAGTATGTTTGAAAATATAAGACGTTGCCTTGAAATAGTAATATTGCCTAAAATATGAAACGACTCAAACAATTTCTGCACAAAAATAATCAACGAGAATCTCTAAAGAAAATAACTCTTTTTGGATTATGGACTTTTGTTACCAAAATCGTTAAATTTAATTTGTTGCAATTAATGCTTTTTGCATTATCCTTGATTCTTTTTCAAAGCCACATAGTCAAACAATTATTTCATTTTATAGCTTTAGTTGACTCAATAAAAATTTTACTCTATAATGAATATACGATGGAACTGTTACATTGCCTGAAGCGACATGTGTCAGAACAAGTGATATTAATAAGAAAAGACAGAAGATATGTGTAAAATATTCCATATATCAAATTCATAATCTTTTCTATGTTGCATCTTTTTCAATCCGTGTTATTAAATTACATGAACTGATAAAACATATAGCAGCAGAGCTATCGAACCAATAAATCTCCAATGCATTTTAAGAATTATTATTATTATTATCACAACTATTTTCTCCAATCGCAAATCAATGAGGTTGTACATCTTTTCAACTTTTTTTGCCATTCTCTATATATATATAATCAATTCATCAAAAATTTTATTCTATAATGTAGTGTGCAGTGCACCAACCTCAAATAAACTGTGTTTTTCCTTATCAGCAAGTTGTTCTGTTCAAGTCCTTTTCTAGGCTTCTTTTAGTCATCGTATACGGCGCTTTTTGAAAAATTGAGCTGTATATTTTTAGTATATTTTTTTTAAACCTTCAGGTTTAGGAGGATTCAGATCGCTGTCCTTAATAACAGATCAATTACGATATCACTCAGATTAACATATACATATCTTATTTTGGTTGGTTCACACTCTTCGATACTATTGATAATGCATCTGATTTTCCGATGACTTGGCTAAATCGTAAGCTAATCTTTAAATCCAAAAATGAAATAATTATATTATGGTCTTTATAAATTGATTTTAAATCGTTATTGTTATAGTACTTAAATATCTAAAAGATACCTATTTTGCCCATTTGGGCCTCATTTTATTGGCCAATTTGGATAATTCATAAATTTAATATGATTAAATGTGACCTCATGAATAATACAACTAATAGTGTGTTTATGGATTTACTTAGAAGTGGTAAAGTAAAAATCTTTTCAAAAATACTCTTTTAATTACTGATATTGAGCAATTTGGTAGAAGAGCAATTAAATAATGCAAACAGTTCAATCAATAAAATTATAGTCTAAAATATATTTAATTCTGTAACGAAAGTGGCTTGCTTTTTCTAATTAAACATAAAAGTTGAGTAAATTCTAATGCTTCAGTAAATTCTCGAATTTTATCTGTTTTCTACAATACTTTGTAGAAGATATGACATCTTTAACAATTTATGTGCTGTTTTTATTTTTTTTAATTAGAAATGACTTTATTATATTTTTAAAGCTGGTACGTTGCCCAATTATACAGAACTACGATTCATATGGCTAGTTGATTCTGACAAAATTAGTATGAAAAATGTCTGCATCATATAATTATAAAATAGTGTCTCGTATTTTTTTTCTTTGCTAAAACAATTTTAGAAGTAGTGAATGTTAAGACTGAATGTTTCTATGGTACCATAACTTGATATAAGAATCTCTGATATTCTCTATATAGGGATAGGGCGGGGCACAAAGATCTAATTTGACTTCCAATAGTTATACTGTCTAAACTAAATAAACTACATAAGAAGACATAACATATATCAAATAAACAACTACTGAACTATGTTCAGTAAAAGTCTCAGTTAA